ATAAAAAAAATATTATTTTAATATATTTTAAAAAACAAAAATTATTTTTATAAATGATTTTTACCATGTTTTCCTTTAAGGCTGGAACGCTCTTGATTATAATATTATATAGCATGGTACTGGGCCTACCTTTTATTTAACTATTGCTTTATAAGTACAAATTAACCTAGTGGCTAGTAGTATAAAAGCTTTAGCGTTCGCATGTGGTGTCTTTTACCATTCTAAAATGGATGAGATTATTTCATAGAATGGTTGTGGTTGTTTTAGTATTTATTTTTGATATTTTTTTATTTTTTAAAAATTATTTTTTAAATTAACGTATCAAAATGATCCAAAATATATGAAAAAATTTTATTTTTTATAGAAAAAATTTTATTTTTTGCAAAAAAAATAAATTTGTTTTGAATGCAGTTCCAAAACGTTCTCAATATTTGAACATCGTAGATTAAATATTTGTTTTATAAAAATATTGTATATACTAATTTTTTTTTACATGTTTTTATACCTTAAAAATTATATATATAAAAAACTCATGCATATATATAATCAAATAAATAAAAAATTATATGGATTAATGGCACGATCAAAAGATTGATGTCTTATCCTAAGTGCATGAGTGTCTAAATAATAAATAACCCGGTAAGACCTGGATCGAATCACATGGAGATGAATTATATAAATTATCAATAATAAAAGGAGAAAAGTTAAAGAAAACTTTTGAGATGTGATATTTATGTAAAGATTTAATCAAAGATAAAAAAAAGTTGTCAATGTTAGAGAATCCACTAATGGTATTTCAAATAAATATAATATAAACTCATTTTATTACTTAACTGGAAACCACACAAACAGGAGGTTTCAATCAGATGATTTATTATTCTTAGCTCATTATAAATTATTATCATGATCATATTAATCATCTTATCTAAGTAATACCATACTTGTAAATATTATCAGGTATTCATGATGCTAACTTATGTTAACAACAAATCAAGTTCCTCTCATAACAACGATGTCGACCGAAAACTATGAAGGATCAAGCATTTATTGTACCCAATGTTATACAATATAAATCTAGATTAACCATTTAACAAGTAAGGTATTAAGAGTGAATAAGATAAAAATGATAAGACATGTTAATAACAAACTTTCTTAGATATAAACATTCACCTTGATATAATAAACTTAAGTGAAATATTATGAAGAAGAGAAACATGAATAAACAATATAAGATCATAAATATGATATAAGTTAACTAAATATATAAAAGGAAATGAAAAAATATAAATAAGATATTAATATAACATGAATAAAAAAACTTAAACATTACAAAGAGAGAAAGCAAGAAAATGATCTTGATTTGAAAAACAAGATGCCTAAATACATAACAAATACCTCCTTTTATAAGCTAAAATTTGAAACTATTAATTATATTATTAATTATTTAGTTGGTGGCCAACCATTGACTTGTTGGCTGGTTATTTACATTGTTAGCTGGTCAAACCATCATTGCTAAAATCATAATTTGAGCACACAGTCTTTATGATAATTGTGGGCAATTGTCTTAACTTTTCATAAAAAAAAAAAAAACCAAAGCTCATTTGGACTTCTAAAACTCGAGATATACGCTAAATACTGAACAGTGTTTGGGTTGCATGACAGATTCAGACGTCTCTTTTGTTGCTAAGATTTGAACTTGAAAATGAAAGATTTGAATCTTGGACTCTTCATGAAAGTTTTAGGCCTATATCTTATCTTTCCATCAAGATAAACCAAACCTAAATCCAAGATCTACAACTCCAGTTATGATCCAATAATTGAATGGTGTTCTAGTTTGAATTGAACCAGCATCTCTTTTCCAAGCTTAGTTCTCTCTTTATCTTTTCACTTTCAATAGTTAAACACAAAAATCAATCCTTTAAATTATAAAATATGTCTCCATTCAAAATATTCATTTACCATAAATTAAAGATGTCCTATGCTATTGTACTTGCTATTATAAAACATGCTCAAGTTAGGGAATTTAATGATATTTTAAGTACAATATGATAATATAAAGCCTTGATAAAAATACACTTTTAAGTACTAATTAATTAATAAATGGTATGAAAATTCATAACAATAACTAAAAAAAACAAAAAAAAACAGATATAAATCAAGATATTTAATCTCGTAAGATGAGATATCTACTTAGATATGTTTGCTGAATTTATTTATTAAAATTATTTTTTATTTAGTTAAATGAATATAGAAATAGACATACAAATTAAATTGATTGAATAAAATAAAATAAAAAATATTATGCAAGGCTTCATATATTAAAAATATTATCTAAAAGTAAATATTTTTAATTTTCAAAAATAAAGTTAATCTATATAAGAGATTAAAAAAAATTATAGATGAATCAGTATAATCTTTTTAAAAACTAAATACACGTAACATCATTAAAAAAAATCTCTCTAAAAAAATTGTTAAATAAAAACAAAAACAAATAATTGAGGAGAGATATTAATTGAAACATAATTTTAAAGACTATTTAAAAAGAAAAAAACATTAAAAAAATATAACAATTAAAAAAGTAATATTAGTAAAAAAAAATAGTTTGGATGTTGTGGTTTAACTCATCATATTTGTGCTTTTGTCCATGGACTAAACCAAGTTTAATTATTCTTTAAAATTTATATTAAACCTTAAAAAAACAAAAGAGGTCCAAAAAACATCTTAGGCTCATGGTGCAAGGAGCCTGGGCCATTGCAAGGAAAAGTTAAGGTGTGTGGGTGAGCCTTCAAGCTTCATGCTCCTAGGTTTGGTTTATATATATATGCGGATGACATGTCATCTGCAAGGTCAGATTTTGGCGGGAAATTAGAGCAGTATCTTTTTTGTTCTAAAAACCTAATTTTTAAGCCATTTCAACCAAAAACAAAACCTCACCTATACCTTTAGAATACTTATAAATCAATCTATCAACTTAAAATACCTAAAAAATAGTCTAAAAATACAAAATCAAATCGAGTTAGATTTATCTTTCTTGGTGTACATCTATTTTTTAGGCAACATTAAGGTTTTAAACAATTACTATTAAGCCTCTCTCATCTTATGAAATCAGTGAACACAAAAAAAAACCTGTTTTAGTGGTCGGAAATGGCTTGAACGAAGATCTTCTCTCTCATCATCGAATTTGGCGACTCCTCTCTCTGTCTTGTCTCTCTAATGAGAGGCTAAAGTAAACTTTTATACAAAAACTTATTTTTGTGAAATCTAAAAGGATCTAAATTATATAATTTGCATTGTTTTAAAGTTTTTAGAACCTAAATGTATTTTTAAAAAAACTTTTTAGCACACCACCCATGTTTGATATCTTTTTTCATTTTGATCCCTCTCATTTCAATTCTACCATTACCTAAGAAATCAAAAGTATTTGGTCTGCAATTAGAATTAAATTATCCAAAATAAAACTTTAAGGATCAAAATGAATTATTGAAAAATACATGATATATCCACAGTTTTTTACAAGTGAATTGTCTCAAAATACATTTTTTATTTAGATTAATTAATCTAAACAAAAACCAACTTTAAATTTTATAAAGATTTAATAGTGATGAGATTCAATGTGTCAAAATAATAATAATAATAAGATGATATAATATAAGAGAGAAATGATGAATAAACAGGTTACTGAAGATATGTTAGGAATTCATTCGTAACATATTCGATATTATTAGAAATATCTTAATAAAACGATATAATCATATCTTACGATTCTATTTGATAATCTTCTAAAATATAATTAAAATTATCTTATCGAAATCTGTCTGAATACCTGTCGAGAACAGATTCTCAGTGCATCATCGGATACGTTTTTTTTCCTTCCTCCTTTCTCTCTCCTATTGTATCATCTGATCTCCTCTCTCTCTTTCTTGATACGCTGAACCAACGCTGACATCTCCCATAGAACGTATTCAAGCTATGCCTGTATAGTAATTACAAACTCTTTACCCTCACACTCTCTCCCCCTGGCTTAATAATTATAGAGTATGATTGAGTAGGCAAATTAAAGGTACGACAAGCGAAACCTTGTAGTGATAATTTGTGGGTTTTGGTTACTTTTGTTAGCTATGTAGGTTTACCGTCGTCAAAGATTGTTTTGTTTATAAAGATAATACTGGGCAACTCTTTGAAGCTTCTGGGTTGCAGCCTTTTCCATGTTAAGTTGTATGACTCTTTTTTCTGGGTTTTGTTTTTGTGTAATTTTTAATTGAAAAACCTTTTTTTTTGGTGTCAGTTATAATGTTGGATTAGATGCCTGGCTGCATATTCTTTTATGTTCTTCTTTTCCCATGTATGTTTTTCCCTCGTGTTGTGGCTGTATGTAGTTAAGGTTGTGAATTTGTTGTTTAATGTTTCATGATGGATATCGTAGTTTATCTGACTTTGTGACTGATGGTTGTCTTGCCATTTATACTCGACCATTACTTTTTAATAGAACATCAAATCAGGGTCAGCAAAACTAAAAGTTCATTGGCATGCTCTGTGAAGTTCCATCAACTTCATTACTGTCTGTGTTTTGGCAGAAGGGGTGGGCAAAATCGAGGGCCTTTTGGACCTAATCAGGCTACAGGTTATGTTCATTTACGAAGCCTAAATTTTATCGTGTTGTTTCAAGGAAGTGTCCAGTTCATTTTTGTCACCCGTGCAGTCCATTCCATTCCATATTTTGGTGCTGTAGTAAATCAGACACTAGTCAGTGTTGTTATTTTTCTGGAATCATTTACCACTCAAATCTGCAGTGGAGCTTCTCTTCTAAAATGATTTTTGCACCTGAACATGAATAGTGTGCTGTAAAATAATGTCTCTGGTTTCTTCTTTCATGCCCATCTCAGCAGTCAACTCTATCTGAGTTGGGATTTAATTCTCCGTGTTTCTTTAATTATTCTGTAGATAACGAGGTAACCAAAGAATTATGGTTTCATCCTGTCATGAATAGCATGATTCCAATGGGGCAATCCGAGAATTGAACTCTGGACCTCTTGCACCCAAAGCAAGAATCATACCACTAGATCAATGCCATCTATGATCCAGGAAAGCAAAACCTATATGGCCCTTTAATTCCTGAAACAGGAAAATGGGCCGTTTTATGCTGGGATTGGTTGCTTTGCACCCAACCTGAGAATTTTCCCGAATCACTTTGGATTATCTAACCACATATTTTCTTTTTCACTAACCGAATCAGATACTTTCTTGATTCTTAAACTATGATTTATATAATGAAGGTTCCTCGTATGATTCCTTCTGAACATTAACAGGCTCTACTGCATTGAGTAGAATGTTGCCAAAACAGAAAAACTCATGTTATCCAATGTGTTGATGGAAAGCATATAGATCGTTGACATTAAACTATATATCCTAACGTTTTTGTTATTTGGCAAGACTGAGCTGACTGTAAATTTGGCAGAAAGCCAATCACTGAGATTTCTTGCCCAACAGACTGAACCTTTTGATGTGTAGATATACAAGCTGACTTTCAAATTCTTTCCCGTGGTATCGCATGTCCTCTTGCATTAATTGTAGCTTTGGGTATGTTTCTGTTCTCTTATTTTGTCATGTCAATTGAGTTACTGAACGCTTTGCATCAAATTGATGCTTACACCATTTGGCAGGTTCAGGTAAATGACTTCTCTCCAATGTCTGAAGCTAGTGACAGGTGTGAGCCTAGCTTGCATACCTTGATTTCAGCAGAGTCTACTTATTTATTGATCATTTTAGTGGTAATGAATCTTACCAGAAAAAAAATATACATCTAGATTTTCTTTAAAATATTATGTTCTCCTGCTAGACTTTAGGTTCTTTGCTAAAATATCTGAACCTGCATGGGAACCAAAAACTATATGGACTCTTAACTTCCTGGGAACCTAAGATTTACATTAATCATTAAATATTGATCTTTAGCTCATCACGCATGATGCAGGCATAACTCTACCTTCTAAACCTTGCTGGGTTGTTTGTTGATATGCATTTTCGTACCATCTTGAAGGGTTGAGACTGGTGGTCCTGCATTGATTGACGAGGCCACAGGTATATTTCTTGATTTTACTACTTGATTTAATGATCGAATGCTTATATGTACAAAGTCAATTCCTTGGAGAGAGTTTTGAAATTTTCATGTTGCAGAGCAGTTGACTTTGAGAAAGATCATGGAGTCAAATTATTTAAATTAACATTGGAAACCTACCCCTGAAAAATAATATGATGGCAATAACAAATCAGGTTTCACATGAGTTCTTAAGACCAAAAAACAGTATGAAACTGGGGCATTCCGAGAATCGAACTCGGGACCTCTCGCACCCAAAGCGAGAATCATACCACTAGACCAAATGCCCATTTCCTGATTTCCCTTTCTTTAATTTTTAATTAATCTGTTAATTAATTAGACCAAGGAAAAATCATGCCTAGCAACTAAAATTCTTTTAGAGGGATGCTAAGTGTCATGAGTCTTTTTTTTTTTTTCTTGAATGGAGTTGAATCTGTGTGAATGAAGTTTCTCATTAGATGGCTTGCTGACTTGCTGTTGATGCAATGCAACATGTTTTAAATATGGGGTAGGGATGAAATCGCTATGCATCACTACAATGTCTATACATTTGATTGTGTGTGTTAATGCTGCCATTTGGTTGGGTTTAGTGCTTACTTAACCCTGCCAAATGGGCTTCTTTTTCCTGATAAATGAGGTGAGATTGTGCCATTACAGTTTTTTCTGTTTTTCCCGTCCTCTGATAGTTACCATGAGAATTGATTTTAGGTTAGTTTCCTTGGCTAAAATATTTCTAACTGGAATATATCATGGGAACTAAAGAATTAACTAGCAAAATTTGCAAAAAGCATGGGGCATTCCGAGAATTGAACTCGGGACCTCTCGCACCCTAAGCGAGAATCATACCACTAGACCAAATGCCCGTTTGCTGATGTTCTCTCTGGGTGTTTTTATAATTATTTACTCAGTTACTTCAAAGTGAAATATGGGTAGTGGTTCAAAAGTCTCTGGCCTCTTGGTCTTTTATTCAATGCATTTTTTTAATCTTTATTGTCACTTTCCTGGTCGGTTTGGGTGTAAAGGCTTTTTAAAGGTAATTTCCACCGTTTAGATGAACTGGAACTCAGATCTACATGTGGTAATTATACTGAATACTTGTCATGTTTGATGCAGGGATATTTCTGGCTTGACCACCTTGTCATTAACATCCACAGCTAATCTATTTTTAAAAGTATCTTGTCAGGGAACTAATCTATCTACAGATCAAAATATTATATCATTGTTTTCATGCTGTTGTCTTGCTACATTTTAAGATGGATAAAAAATTAAAATGTCACGTTGTTAGAAATAATAACTTGGGACCTCTCGCGTCCAAAGGGAGAATCATACGGCTAGACCAATGCCCAGTTGGTGATACTCATCATGCGAAATTTCTGCTACTAATGCATTTGCAAGCTTGAAGTTTTAGATCTCAGTTTGTCCTGGTGTCAGTCTTAGTGCCAGAATTATAAGGGAAAAAGCACAATCCTTTCTATTGA